AGTTTAAAAAAACAAAAAATCTATCTAGAAGTTCTTATTTATGAAAATTGAGTCATGACAGTTATCAAACCTGCTAAAAGCTTATTTCCAAAGTGTAATTCGATCCGTGTTACATAACCCTGTTAACAAACTCAACACTGGAGATCTGCAGCGCTGTTTCATGATACAGATGAGTTTATGTTTGCTTTTTTTAGGGCATCCTAGCGTGAGAAACTGCCATTTCAGAGACATATAGCACAGACGTGCTCCCGAAATATTTTCTGTGTGAGAAATAATCGATGATCAAAATGTAACACATTAAAGATGCAGTCAGTTATTGTTTTTTACAGCATGCACACTCACAGGGTGTATATCATCTTTTATATAATCTTTTTTTTTTAAAGTTTGTTTTAGTGTTATTCAAATTTTGGATATCTTGATCTATGCTTCATATATAAATACATTTTTCAATGTGTGCCATGGTAACACGGACAAGTGCCACAGACCACAGATACAAGTGATGAGCATGATTAGTCACTCATTACATCCTCTCTTATACACGATGAGTCATGTTGCCAAGGTGGCGTAGGCTTGTTTATGAGACGTCGGAAACAGTCTGTTTGTCCATGCGTGTGCGTGCTTGTATCTGTTTTGTGCGTGCAATTCATTCACACGTGTGTGTGTGTTTCGTATTTACCAATTCCCCTGCCATATTAATACAGGCTGGTTATAATTAACTAGCCTCTTATCTAAAGCAGGTCAGTCCAAGGCTTCGTACTCAAAGTGGGTCACTGCAGCACACTGAGGAGAGGAGAGGAGATAAAAGGAGAGGAGATGAAAGAAGAGGGGAGAGAACGAGAGGATAGTAAAAGAGAGGAGAGGAGAGGAGATGAAAAGAGAGGAGAGGAGAGAGAACGAGAGGGTAGGAAAGGAAAGGAGAGGGAGGTAACTAGGACTGAGAGAAAAAGACACAACACAAGAGGAAACAAAAGGAGTATGTACAATGCAAAGACAGGAAAGGAGGAGGAAAGGAAAGAAGATCAAAGAAACAGAAAGGTAAGACGGACAGTTTTAGGCCACAACCATGTGACATTTCTTCAAGCTGACAAAACAAAAGTGCTGCTCTGAGCATTGTTAAGAAGAGAGAGCAAGAACTTAATCGGCACATTGAACGTCACTTCATTGTTGCAGCTAATTAGCGATACAACCAGCTGGACTAACTCGAGAATATAAAGATGGACAATAGAGAGTTGATGAGAAACCCGCTCTGAAATGAAGAGTCATCATTAGGCAACTGTGGTAAGGTTGGTGTGTCGTCCCACAGTGCAGCCGAAGTGTGACTCTGAAGCGCTTAAGGCCCGAGTCCTAAAAAACGCCACATCCATTCAGAACCCAAGATTTGCAGGAGAAGCACGTCGGCTGCTGAAAGTGGAGCACATTCAACAAACGGCCCTGAATGACAATAGAAACTTTCATCAACTGAAATCCAACTGAAGTTATGCAGATTAGCTGGCTAGTTAGTTTGTGTATCGTAGCTGCATACTGTTCTGCTATGGCTAATAAATTTGTCTCATGCACGTTTCAGATCATTTATACCTCTAAAGGGGATCTGCTTCTGAGAAATGTTTGTTGGACTCTAGAGTCAGGGGACAAAGGAGAGAAGAAAGAAACAGATGAGAGAAGGATGACGAGTAGGGTCCTAAAGAGGAAAAGAAGAAGTAGAGGAGTGGACGGTTGAGAAGATCATGTAGGCGTTTTTTATTTTTGGAAACATCCAGTTGCAGCTCCAGTTGGCAAGAAAGTTCGGAAGGGAAGAGCGTTGTGATTTGAGCTGAAAACACATCAGGGAATTCTCAATTAACACAAGCTTTTAACGAACCTTCTCTGAGAACGGAATAAAGTCAGCGAAGTTGTGTTTTTTTCCCTCTACAAAGACATCCATGTCTGAACTCCCTGGAGTTTGTATTTCATCACTACCAGGGCAGGGGAGTGTCAGGTTTCCTGTCTGTGTGCTCATGCTTTGACTTGGCTGAACACCCGGAGCTGAGAACAGAGCCCACCCAGTGTTAAATACTCTAAACACTGTACCACTACAATCCCTTTACACACAGCACAGAAAGTTCAGTGGAGACAGAGAGGTTTTTACTATTTGAAAGAAGAGACTGTCTCTCTTGAGATGTGATTTGTTGCACAACAATTAAGACAAGTGTTTCAGTTTCAAATACAACTTTGTTTTTAAAGTTAAGAGTATAAGAAGTGAGTGTGTTTTGCGACTCTCCCAGTGTGAACGCAGCACAAGAAACTGCCCAGATTAACAGTGTAATATGGAACTGGGTTACAGCTCTAGCTATTCCTAACTGTGCCGCATTCATGTAACATCGGCTCGCAGTAATTACCAGCGTGTAAAGTGACTTGTGAGTCAGACGCTGTAACATACAAAACACGATTAAACCTGCAAAATGTGGAGTTTTATGAAATGCCAAAAGTGTCTGAAAAAGTCAGACGTTCAATGTGATATTATCGACTCAGAGTGTTATTAACCCACACATGGCCAACAGAGCGTTCATTAAACAAGTAGGGAATCTTTTCCATTATGATTCAAACTCCAAGCGTCTCTTTACCAAATGATTGTACACATCAACCCGAGGCCTACTCAGCCAGAAGAGCAAACGCGTGGGTGTCTTTTACTAATTAAATGTATTTATAGCGCGCCGTCACAAACACCTCGGTTCCACTGTTGTCTTGCCACGATGTGAGTGTTAAAGGGATAAAAACGGAGTTACGGTTATTAAAAGGCATTTAAATGGTCATGAATTCCACTCTGAAAATTAATGCAGGATATTGTAATATGTTGCCGTATTTTTTACAGTTCGGTGTCCAGCGGACGGAGGATGGCAGTGATACAAGGTGCCTGGCTCTTGTGAGAGAGAATGTGCCCCTGTAATAATAATCCTATTTTAATCTGCCTCCTGAGGTTCTGTGTCCTGGATTATGAAATATGAAGGACGCTGCTGGGAAGGGAAGCTGGGATATAGTGAATGAGTTTAAAGAGACATAACACTATGCATGCATAGAGCCGTTATTAGATTCACAATCTAATGAAGAGTTTCTTTATAGAATTAAGAAAAACAATAGAATCTACTTTTACTTTATTATTGCTGCATAAAGGCGAGAGATCATTATTATAATTATAGTTTTTTTTTCAGTGATATAGGTTCTTCTGAAAGAAAAAAGCTATAGTGATACATTTATGAAACAAATTCATATTTTTTCCATGATTTAAGGCTTCAAAGATGCAACAAAATATACATTTTCTTTTTTTACATCAGAATTTTCGGCGACTGACTTCAGTCCGTCTGTTTTAAAAGCAAAATCTCTTGTTAAACAGGCATTTAGCTGAAACAGCCCTTCAAAGAAGAAGGAATGAGGAACCGAGTGCGAGGCGGTGCTATTCTTTAGTTGACCTGCAGCCTGTTGACATCATCGCCATGGTAACAAAGGCACTTCTGTTGTAGAATGGGAGGGATTTGTTCTTACACACACACACACACTTGAATCTCTGCTGAGGAACCTCTGACATGACGCCTCCACATCTGTTATTGTGTGTCATTCTGCACCGACGGGCGGGTCAGCGGTTCTCCCTGAGAGAGACAGGGAGGAAGACAATGGCTGTGGGCTGTGAGGTTGAGTCTGTGAGGTTGAGTCTGTGAGGTTGAGTCTGTG